GAAACCCCCAACCCAAGCGAGCCCCGTGCTTTGTCCTTCAGTCGTGCCCCACGTTTCAGTAGCGCTTTCTGTTTCCGTTTTCAGGCTCAGATCCTAACGCGGTGTGAAAAGCTCCAGGGCAAACTGCAAGAGCTGCTGAGTTGGGTCTGCGATACCACGCAAGTGCTGGACAGCAGCGATCATCGCAACGCAAGGGATGCTAACGGCTTGAACCGCAGCCTTCGACGTTACACGGTAACCATAGCAATGCCTCTAATCCCCACAGATAAAGTTGTGATCTCCTGCAGGGCAGGGATGCTTTGAATTCGTTCTCCTCCTGGGTTCTCCCAGCATTGTCAATTATTGCTCGTGGGAGTGCTGGGCTTCTGGCCTCTCTTTCAGGGCTCAGGTTCTCCGAGCTGACGAGCAGTGAAGCAGGGCGTGGAGAAAGGGAGCAGAGCTTTGACTCGTTGTTTCAGCAATGATTAAAACCGACTGGTACCGTTCAGCCCTTCTAAGATGGCAGGCCGGTGTGCACAAATATGAAGCATGGGATCCTCTCGCTGGGCTCTCTGGAGTCTTTAGCAGTTGACACTGTTTCTTTACCACCTCTTGGCTGTGACACTTCAGCTGTGGGCAGTCCAGCTTTTCCTCTTGGCCCACCAAGCTATAGCTCCTGAGACCCGAGTGTTGGGAGGAGGTAGAGTGAAAACTTCCCGTGGACCGAACTATTGGAGTATGGGCTAGAACCTCTTATTTCTGTAACTGGGGGCGTCTTCAGAGCCGTGCAAATACTCCGAGAAAAACTGGGTTTGTTGAAACACTCACGATAAGGTTGGGTTTTTCTAAAGCTCTTGGGAGACCTGGAATCATTCGGGTTAGGAGGAGAGTCAGGAAGTAGCACTTGTCAGTCCATCACGTATGGACATACAGCGCCCCATGGGGAGACCTCCTGGCTGGACCACCTCTGCTGCTGCACTGAAGCATCCTGTTTGTTCCTGGGTCTTGTTCAAAGCCAACCATTTAAGAAATGGCACGCAGATGAGGAGCTGTTTCACAAACAGCTTTTTTTTCTTTTTATCTCTCTCTTCCCCTTCCATTTAGGAGTTAAAACAGCCCCTGGCTGACAATAAATCTCAACTGGATGCCATCGCCTTCGACATCCAGTTCTTTATCTCCGAGCACGCCCAGGACTTGACACCTCAACAAAGCCGGCAGCTGCTGAGACTGCTCAATGAGCTGCAGAAGGCTTTCCGGGAGCTGTCGGAGCGTGTGGCAGCTCAGGTGGAGGTCCTGCAGGTCTGTCTCCATCAAGCGGAGCAGACGGATCAGGTGAAAGTCGCGGGGCGGGGGCAGCTCGGCTGCAGTTTGCTAACAGAGTTGTTTTCAGCCTGGAGCGTGTGCGGTGAAACGCCTCGTGCTCTGCTCTTGGACTCTGCCTGCATGTTGTTGTCAGGATTTATAACTTCACCCTGCACGTCGTAAGCTCCTTCAAGAGGCTTGAGTCCTCCTCCTCCACAATTCCCAGCTTTCACAGGCATGAGCTCATGCTTTCCCTTTGACAGCATTCAGAACCAGGGAGCTCCCAGCGGGCTCCTCGTAGAAGTTGGCCAGTCCCTTTGGCGGTCAGCTGTGGGCAAGTGACCAGGTTGAGCTGAGATCACAAGTGCTTTTGGTTTTAATGGCTCTAGCCTAGTCCCCATGAGGTCCGTCGGAGAAGATAGCTGCCCAGATTGGCGCTGCTCACCACCAGTGAGAGCCCGTGCTGTTCCTTTCCCACCTTCTTTGCATAATTCGCATGTGGCAGACACGAGAGAAACAGCTGTTTCGATGCTACCTGCCTGTAGAAGCACACAGCACCCACGCCGACTAAATCCCTCGGGTCTCTGCTGTGTTCCTGCAGCCCACATAACTGCATGCACCCCCCCTTCACTCGAGACGGTATTCATGTTTGTATTAACCGTTGCTCTCAATAATGCTCGGCTTCTCCCATCATTGTGTGTGTATTAACCGGTTTGCTTTGCTTTTTCAGATTCAGTGTGCACCCACCCTAACCCAGGAAGATCTCGC